TTTTCGCTTTTTTTTTCGCAAATCTGGTCATTTTCTCGCTAAAATTTTGCCATCGGGAAAATGGACTAATTTATCTCATACTGTTCTTTCATGCTGTAATCTATCGCTTCCTTCGCCACTTGGGCTTCCTGGGTCAACCTGGTTGCTACAATCGGCTTATCACTCGGTACTTCAGGAACTGTAGCTTTTTTTTTGTACTATTTGTACTGGATTAATATTCTAAGCATTTTTTTCATGCGGAATTGGTCTATTTTCATTATGTTTAAATTGCATTATTTGTATTTCATAATGCATTGATTCATTTGCCCTTACATGTTTTGCGATATTCTCGAAACATTCCTGTTTAGCTGTTTAATTACACAACTTGATGCTAAACTTCACTAAATTTTGGTAAAATGTACAATTTTGAATCATTTTCCGAGTAGTTTATTTCGGTTATTACCCCTGTACGTAAGGCGTTTTTAACTTGTCGCAAAAAATATTCCTAGATAAGGTTTGCTTTGTTGTCATGCATTTTTGCATCACTCCATCCTGTACAGAGACAACTTGTACTACGAAAGTGTGAGACTGCAGTGTTGCATTTTGAACATTTGATACGTGACTATGTGCAAGTTTCATGCCTAGGCAGAAGCTCATCTTACACATGGTGGCTCACATACGCGAACAGCAAACATCCTCAGAAAAATACTGCTTCCTGCTCAGTCTGGTTACCCAGCTAATTAGACGCGAACGGTGGCCTAAACTGAATTTACAACTAAGAGATGAAACACAGAGACTGCATCGTAACATGTCTTCTTACGTATAACACTTATTCCTTGTCTCTCCCATTCTACTATTTTAGAATGTTACATACACACAAGTATCTCACTTTAATCCAAAAGTGGCAGCGCTTAGATCTAATAAATTGCGTGTCAAAAAAAAATTTTCTGTGAGAAATCGGAAGTGCTCTCGGCGGTAGCCCAAGGAAGTTGTTCTACAAGTTTACGTGATAGCTCGAGTTCCCGAGGATTTGCG